CCAATGGTAAATTCTTTTGATCTTAATGTAAATAACATATTTTTAGGGAAGAAATGAGATTTTCTAAAACAAACAATTTAAGGAAAAGTGACAATGTTTATAAACCTTTTTAATGTTAAGCTTGATAGAAGACAGCTGGATTCTCATATCTGCTTCTGTATTCAATATGTTGTGATATCTTTGGGGATTTTTTGTTGTTTGTTTTGTTTTTTGAGACAGGGTCTTGCTATGTAGTTCATGGTGGCCTTGAGCTCACATGTAGCCCAGGCTGGTCTCGAACTCATGGCAATCCTACTGTGTCAGTCTGACGGGTGCTGAGATTACAGTGGTACAGGACCACATGCTTTTCTTTCTTTCTTCTTTCTTTCTTTTTTCTTTCTTTCTTTCTTTCTTTCTTTCTTTCTTTCTTTCTTTCTTTCTTTCTTTCTTTCTTTCTTTCTCTTTTCTTTTCTTTTTTCTTTTCTTTCTTCCTTTCTTCCTTTCTTCCTTTCTTCCTTTCTTTTCCTTCCTGCCTTCCTTTCTCTCTTTCTCTCTTCTTCCCTCCCTCCTTCCCTCCCTTCCTTTTTTTTTTCGGTCTTTTTGAGACAGGGTCTCGCTATGCAGTTCAGGCTGGCCTTGAGCTCACTTTGTAGCCCAGGCTGGTCTCTAACTCACAGTGATCCTCCTGCCTCAGCCTCCCAAGTGCTGGAATTACAGGCGTGCGCCGCCACGTCCAGCTCCTTCCTTCCTTCTTCCTTTCCTCTTCTTGTTTTGGATACTGGAGATTGAACACAAAGCCTTTACACTGAGCTACATCCTTAGCCCTTTTTTATTTTTCACTTTGAGACAAGGTCTCACTAAGTCATTAAGTTGCTTGTATTGGGCTTGAATTTACAATTCTCCTGCCCAGCCTCCTGGAGTGCTGGGGCTACAGGTGTGCATCACCATACCTGATGCTTTAAAACCTTTGATCAGGGGCTGGGGATTTAGCTCAGCGGCAAAAGTGCCTGCCTGGCAAGCGTAAGGTTGTGAGTTCAGTTCCCGGTACCAGAGAAAAACCAAAAAAAAAAAAAAAAAAAAAAACCTTTGATCAGAGTTGGCCAGTCATTTTGTAGAATGTCTCGCAATTTGAGTTAGATGGGTTGTTTTTGCTTTGGTGCTGTGGGTCAAACCCAGGTCCTTGCATGTGGCAAGCAAGTGCTCTGGCACTGAGCTGTGCCCAGCCCTGTAGGATGTTTTTCACAATTAAATTCAGATTATGCATTTTGGGCAAAATACCCATATGGTGTTGTATTCTTTGCAGCACATTATATGAGGGTACTGGGATGACATGTCTTATTAATGAGATTTCATTCTGATGGTTTGGTTAAAGTTTTGTCTGGGTTTCTCACTTAATGCTCTTCTTTTAAATTATATTTTAAGGGCTGGGGATATAGCTCAGTGGTACAAGTGCCTGCCTGGCAAGCACAAGGTCCTGAGTTCGATCCTTGGTACTGAAAAAAAAAAATTCAAATATTTAGATTAGCTAGGTACAATGGTGCACATGTATAGCCCTAGCTACTCTAGAGGCTGAAGGAAAAGGATCAGAGGCTTGAGGCCAGTCTGGACCACTTAGTCACACCCTGTTGCAAAATAAAATAAAAATAAAGAACTAGGGATGTAGCTCAATGGCAGAATGCTTGTTTACCATGTATATAAGGCCCAGGGTTCAATCCCTAGTACAACAATAAGGAAAGAAAAAAAGAAGAAAAAAAGGAAGAAAGGAAAACTGATTGGCGTGTACTGATGCATGCCTGTAATCAAAGCACTTGTGAGGCTGAAGCAGGAGTATTGCCACAAGTTGGAGGCCAGCCTGGACTACTTAGTGAGTTCAAGGCCATCCTCAGTTAGATAGGGAGACCCTGTCTCAAAACAAAACAAAAAAAAAAGGGAAAAGTTGAGTATGGTGGCTCATGCCTGTTATCCCAGCACTCTGTGAGGCTGAGGCAGGAGGATCACAAGTTCCAGCCCAACCTGAGCAATTTAGCAAACTTAATGAGCCCTTGTGTCAAAATTTTTAAGAAGTTTAGAAAGGGCTAAAGTTGTAGCTCAGTACAAATGCCTTGCATTCAACCCCCCACACAGCAAAAATACATGTATAGATACAAATAAAAAATAAATTACTAAGATAATAAGTACTCCTAAAAAGTTTCAAAAAAAGTTTAGAGTAAATATACATCGCACTAAGACTGTTTAGAGTAGATAAGTTAAATAAACTTCTCATGAAACCTACTTCGCAGAGGCTACTTACCACTGCCAACTGAGGTGTATCTTTCTAGATGTTTTTTGTTCATACACACGTATGTTATTAGCTCATACTGAACATCTTCTGTAAGTTTTTTTTTTTTCCATAATGTTGTTTGTTATCTGAGGATGGCCTTCCATGTCAGCGCAATTAGATGCAACTCATTTTTTCTAATGACTGGCTAATATTTTATTCTCTAAATAATCCTAATACTGTACTTCTGTGTATTTCCTGGATTTTTATGAGCACATAAATTATTTATCTTAAATTAACTTAGGGCTAGGCTAGGTAGACCTACTAGCCACTTTGAAATTGTATTCAGTTTTATTTATTTATTTTTTCCGGTACCGGAAATCGAACTCACGACCTTGTGCTTGCCAGGCAGGCACTGTGCCGCTGAGCTAAATCCCCAGCCCCCTACAATTTTATTTTTATTTATTTATTTAGTTTCGGTGCTGAGGGGCTGCGGATTTAGCTCAGCGGCAAAAGCGCCTGCCTGGCATGCGCAAGGTCGTGAGTTCGGTTCCTGGTACCGGGAGAAAAACCAAAAAAAAAAAAAAAAAAAATAGTTTTGGTGCTGAGAGTTGAACACAGGGCCTTGTGCCTGCTAGGCAAGAGCCCTACCACTGAGTTGAAAACTCTAAATTAGTTTTAATTTAATTATTTTGTTTTTGTATTTGTTTTTTTTGAGACAGAGTCTCACCATATAGTTCAGGCTGGCCTTGAACTCACTGTGTAACCTGGGCTGGCCTCACTCTTGTGATCAGCCTCCTTCCTCCCAGGTGCTGGGATTACAGGTTGTTATGGTTTGTGTCTAGATGTCCCCCCAAAGCCTCGTGCAGTCATGGGGCAGGCTTCTAGAGTTTATTGATTGATTCATGGTCCAATGCTGGGATTATGGGTGTGAGTGCTACACCCACCCTAGGATGGTAGCCCGCATACAGTATAAGGGAGGGAAAGAGGCTTGCTCTCTGCTGCTCCTCCTTCTTTTGCTCTTGTTGCGTTTGCTGTTTTCTGCAGCCATAAACTGTTGCCGTTTGCCATGTGCCACTCTGCCTTGGAGCCAGCCAAGTATGGACTGAAACTTCCACAAACTGTGGGCTAAATAAACCTTTCCTTCCTTAATGCTGGGCATCAGTTATTTTGTCTCAGCAACAAAAGAAAAGTAACCAAGACATAGATGTGCGCCATGCCTGGTTAAATTAGTTTTTATTTTTATTATTTTTTGAGACAGGGTCTCACTATGCAGTTCAAGGCTGGTCTTGAATTCACTATGTAGCCCAGGCTGGCCTTGAATTTGAAGCAGTCCTCCTGCTTCAGCTTCCTCAGTGCTGGCATTACAGGTGTGTGCCACCATGTCCAACTAAATTAGTTTTCAATATAGAACAAATTTATGATTAGTTTTTTTTATTTCAAATCTATAGAAAAATATTCAAATTTTATCATAAAATCAAAGTTTTTATAATACAAATATTATGCATAGATTTGTGAAAACATTATTTTATGTGGAATGGAAGATACCATCAATTTTAGAGGGTTTTTGTTTTGTTTTGTTTTGTTTTGTTTTGTTTGGTCTGTTTCAGACAGGGTTTCACTATGCAGTTCAGGGTGGCCTTGAACTCACTTTGTAGTCCAGGCTGGCCTTGAATTTGAAGCAATCCTCCAGCCTTAGCCTCCCAAGTGCTGGGATTATAGGTGTATGCCACTAAGTTTTTAACTCTTCCTTTTTTTTTTTGGTACCGGTACTTGAATTCATGACCTTGCACTTTCCAGGCAGGTGCTGTGCCACTGAGCAATATCCCTGACCCGCCACTGAGTTTTTAAAATATGCAAAATGAGAGTGTCTCAGTCTGTTAATGCTGTTGTTACCAGGGTTCTGGAATTCAGTGGGCTCCTTCTAGAGACACTTTCCAGGTTCTTGTTCTGAACAAAGAGTTAGATGAAACAAGCAAAAAAGGTGGTAAATTTTACATTTACTAAAGGTAGGAAAAAGAAATATACTGTGCAGTCAATGCAGGCCAATGAAAGTAGAAAAAGAAATATACTCTGTAAGGTGATTGGACATGGAAAGAGCTTGCAGTGGTCAAAAGATTAATGCCTGCCATTTTTTGTATTCCTCATTCTGACATCAGATCTAAGACATTCTATCAAAAAGTTGGTTGATTTCATGCCAGAAGAGTTGAAGATAACATTTTCTGATTGGTCTCAGGTGCAGGTACTCCGTGTCTTGGAGCTCTGTGTCCTGGAGCTTGGTGATTGATAGGTCATGCTCACTTGCCCAGCCAGATAGCCATGCCCTAATCTCCTGCCTCACTGCTATAACAAAATACTTCAGACTGGGTCATTTATAAAGAACAAACATCTATGTCTCACTGTTCTAGAAGTTCAAAATCAGGGTTCAGTGTCTGGATGAGGCCTGATATCTGCTTCCAACTTCCTGGTACCCTGTATCCTTACACAGTAGAAGACTTGGAAAGACAAAAGGTCAAAAGAAAATGTACCTTTCAATGCTGAGCCCTCTTGTATGGTACTGAACCTATGTATGAGAACTTCACTTTCCTCACTTCCCAAAGATTATATCCATGAATATTGTTGCACTGGGGATTAAGTTTCAATGTAAATTTTTTTGAGGGAGACTCTATCATTCAAACTATAGCAGGGAATCTTGGAATTGGTGAAGCAGGATAATTGCTTCTTGGATTTTTTTTTTAACCAGAATCTTTGCATGGTCTTCCAGGCACTGCCAGGACCCTATGAGGAGCTGATTCTTAGAGCCCAGAGCCATGGAGTTAAATAACTCTTCCCATGTGGATTCTGAGTTTCGATACACTCTCTTCCCAATCGTTTACAGCGTTATCTTTGTGCTGGGGATCATCACCAACAGCTATGTGCTCTGGGTGTTTGCCCGCCTGTACCCTTCCAAGAAACTAAATGAGATCAAGATCTTCATGGTGAACCTCACTGTGGCTGACCTGCTTTTCCTGATCACCCTGCCCCTGTGGATCATCTACTACTACAACCAGGGTAACTGGATTCTGTCCAAATTCCTCTGTAACCTGGCCGGCTGCCTCTTCTTCATCAACACCTACTGCTCCGTGGCCTTCCTGGGAGTGATCACCTATAACCGCTTCCAGGCAGTAAGATATCCCATCAAGACTGCTCAGGCCACCACCCGCAAGCGCGGCATAGCTTTGTCCTTGGTCATCTGGGTGACCATTGTGGCCGCCGCATCTTATTTCCTTGTCATGGACTCCACCAATGTAGTGTCCAACAAGGCCGGCTCGGGCAACGTCACTCGCTGCTTTGAGCATTACGAGGAGGGCAGCGACCCTGTGCTCGCCATCCACATCTGCATTGTGCTCGGCTTCTTCATTGTCTTCCTCCTCATCCTCTTCTGCAACCTGGTCATCATCCGCACGCTGCTCATGCAGCCGGTGCAGCAGCAGCGCAATGCTGAGGTCAAGCGCCGGGCGCTGTGGATGGTCTGCACAGTTCTGGCAGTGTTTGTCATCTGCTTCGTGCCCCACCACATGGTACAGCTGCCCTGGACCCTGGCCGAGCTGGGGAAGTGGCCGAGCAGCAACCACCAGGCTATTAATGACGCACATCAGGTCACCCTCTGCCTCCTTAGCACCAACTGTGTCTTAGACCCCGTCATCTACTGTTTTCTCACCAAGAAGTTCCGCAAGCACCTCAGTGAAAAGCTTTACAACATGCGCAGCAGCCGGAAATGCTCCCGGGTCACCACCGACACAGGGACCGATGTGGCCATTCCCATCAACCATATTCCTGGCAGTTCCATCAAAAATTAGTCCTTGCTTGTTGGGGGTCAGGCCTGAAGTCTTCTCCTCCATGAGCATCCTGGGAGAGGCTGGGGGAAGAAGAGATAACTGCTGCAGTCACCTCCTCTCTGGGCACCGGTGGCCCACTAAGTACAAAGGCTACCTCACGCAGGCAGGGACGATGGCAGAGCTGGACTGCTGGACGATCCAGAACTGGAACCAGCACCTTCATCCACCTTTGGGCACACTCTGACCTCACCCTGGGCCCCTGGGTCTGATGGGGCGAGGAGGAATATGAGGGTCAGGGGCAGACTCTGAGCCTCCCTCAGCTCCTCCCACTGGGTAGCGGCCTGGAGCCTTTGCCCATGATTCCCAAGTGGTAACGGCAGGGTGGGAAAGCACTAGAGCGGTGGAAGGGGCCTGGAAACCTGTCCCAAATGACAGCTACAGAAGAGAAAACCTGACCAGAGAAAAAGCCAGGATGGAGGCTTGTTTCCTGCACAGGCTTTGCCTCAGGCCTGGGTCAGCTCTGAGGGGCTGGGAGAGAGGCAGCCTTGCCTTCGTTTTTCTGCTTTAGTAACAGACCCTGAGTAAGGACCTTCTGTGGGGCAGAAAATCCCCTCAAAGCAAAATATGAGAGCGCTCCGGCTAGGGCAACTCAAAGGCCAGAGGCTCCCATGGGAACAGCACTTGGGCAGAGAAGAACCTGGGGTTTCTGGGAGGGAGAAGCCTGCTCGCTCTCTCTGGCAGGGCCTCTCCTAGCCTAACTTCCGGGAGGTAGAAGGGACAGTTACAGTGGCACAAGCTGGCGGGTGTCAGCTTCTCTCAAGCATCTCTGGACACCTGCTTGTAATTCTTGGCAAGCATTCAGATGAGACTGCTCTCTTTCCCTTAGCCAAGTACTTGCAGGGTGAGCCCCGCAGCCTGAGACCTGGGGGCTTGGAGGCACTTCTCCCTGGTGTCCAGAGCTCCTCTGCGAACTCTGCCTTCCAGCCAGCGCCCCACAAACTTGGGACTCTTGTTTCCTGCCTGCCAGGCAAGCACTGGATTGCTGACTTTGATACCTATCTCCCCGAGAGCCAGTGACCTGCTTGGGTCTGGGAGGGTAGCTGTGGGCTGGCCCTAGCTGATGGTGGCCGGACCAGGTGGCCAGAGCAGCACACTCAAGCTTTGGTGTCACACAGACCCAAGTTCAGTCTTGGCTTTGTCACTTATTGCCAAGTGACTGGGGACTCAATTTTCTACCTCTTAGTGTTGTTGCCTGTGAGGTAAAAACCTACCTCACCGGGGTGTTCCGAGCAGCAAACGCTGAGAAAGACACCTCTTGGTCAGGGGGACTGCTCATCCCAGGCCCTCCCTTCTTCTGAGGACTTGGACCCTTCAGTCCTCTGGGAGAGGCTGGGAGAGTAAGAGCTGGACAGCTGGATTCAGGGATGCTGCCTCAGGCTTTTCAGGGCACTTACCTGAGGACAGATGAACTCTGGAGCTGTGAGTGTATTGATAGTGCATGTGTGTGTGTGTGTGTGTGTGTGTGTGTGTGTGTGTGTAGGGGATGGCGTGGGTGTATGCTTGGGTACTGCACCTGTGATTATGATAGAGAAAATGGTCTGTTCATGGAGAAAATTTTCAGAGCAAAGCAGAAGGCGGAAAGAAACGACAGGAGCATGGAAGGAAGAGAGGACAGGTCTTGCAGGAGCCTGCTGGGTGACTGTCCTCTGCACGCCTTCCATTGTGTCCTAGGAGAGTCTCTTGTGCGGACCCTTCCCTTATCTTGCATAAGCTGGTTTGAATGAGTGTCTCTTACGCGCAACCGGAAGTGCAGCCGATGGAGCGTACTGTCCGCGCTAATTATGCACACCATTTCCGGAACATCAGTCCTTTGCATCCCACCTTGCACGCTGTGTCATGTCCGTGTATCCGCTGTGTGTTTACAGAATAAATATTTTTTCTTTAAGTCCAGTGGGTTTTTCAAACTCATATTCATCCAAAAGAGCTTATAACTGTAGATGAAAACAAAAGCCACCTGCCACAAACAGGAGGTAAACATAAAAATGAAAATAAAACCACTAAAACTGTTTCTCTGTGTTCCGTCTGAAGTTACCCCATGGGCCCCATGGAAAGCCTGCTGTCATGTGTATCCAGTGCCTGGAGTCTGCATTCAGTAAGTGCTCAGTAAAGAATGGTTGACAATTCTTTTTTTTTTTAAATCTGATTTTATTGGTACATTTTAGGTATACATAATGATCACATTCATCGCAGAGAATTTGTACCTGTTACATGATATAACTTGTTTCTTTTTTTTTTTTCCCCCCATTCCCCTCCCCAACCCTCCCTTCAACCATGACTGACGGTTCTGAGACAATGACTTGTGATCACTCCCTTGCTTTTCCTAGGACATCATCCCAACGTACAGGTCAGGCTCTTACTTCCACCCAGGCCCCTGGGGTGTGGGAAGATATACAGTTGGCCCTTTGTATACATGGGGTCCGCATTTCCAGACTTAATCAACTGCTTGTTGAAAATATTAGAAAAATAGAATCGTGTCTGTACTGAACACATAGAGGCTTTTCCCTGCCCTCACTTATTAAACAATACAGTCTGACAGCTATTTACCTAATTACATTGCTTTAGGGACATTAAGTAATCTAGAGATGATTTAAAATATCTAGGAAGGGGTGAGGAAATTGTTTGCAAATATTATTCCACTTGGTTTAAGTGACTTGAGCATCTGAGGATTTTGTTATGCATAGGGGGGCCTGCAACCAAGCGCCCTCAGCACCCCAAGCTTGACTGTAAGGTCATAGCCTGCTCCAGCCCTGCTGATCTCATCACCACTCCAAATACATCCACATTTATTTCCCCTATAACCTTCGCCTGGTTTGCTCAGGCTCCTGTGTTGTTTGACCCTGCCGGGTGCACCCAGATTCCTCCAGGCAAAATGTTAGGGCTGGGAAGACCCAGCATTTTGACCTGCATGTCAGAGTCTGTCTTCCCTATCCTATGGGGCAGAAATATTGTCTTTTTTTTTTTTTTGTCTTTTTGAGACAGGGTCTGTAAGCAGTTCAGACTGGCCTTGAGCTCACTTTGTAGCCCAGGCTGGTCTCAAACACCCAACGATCCTCCTGCCTCAGCCTCCTAAGTGCTGGGATTACAGGCGTGAGCCTCCACGCCCAGCAGGAATATTGTCTTAGTCATCTATGAATCCAGTTTCTTATACATGGCCTGGAATTGAGATTGGCCTGTCATCAGAGGGTATGTATGTCTTCCCCAAGCTGTAGCATAAACACATTTTACATAGGCATACACTTATTCTGAAAGATAAGGGAACTTTCTAGAGACAAAGGGGAAGCTCTATGAGCATCTGTGAAAGGAAGATATAAAGAATTTTCAGGGGCTGGGGATTTAGCTCAGCGGCAAAGCGCCTGCCTGGCAAGCACAAGGTCGTGAGTTCGGTTCCTGATACCTGAGAAAAACCAAAAAAAAAAAAAAAAAAAGAATTTTCAGAGGGTCAGAACACTTTGGGGCTGGTAGGGTCCAATCTCTTTATCTTACTAAGAGGAGAAAAGGGCCCAGAGGGGTGAAGGTATCACAGAAGCTGCAGGACTGGGTTTTTACCTGCATCTCTGTTCCTGCAGCTGTGTCGGGGATGATGGGAAAAGCTAAATTGTAATTCTTTTCTCGAAACCTCACTGATGGGGATTTCCGGGGCATCCTGTGCACCAGGAAGGTCTCACCTCCATTCCGTCCCCCCTCATCTCTTCCTTTTCCTTTGCCCCAGGGAATTACCACCAACTGAACCAGAAAACCCATGGCTCCTGCAAGACCTAGTTTCCCCGAGATGAGTCATGAACAGTAGAGCAGATAAGGGCGGGTCACCGTGGACTGGAGCTGGGCATGTTTATGCTTATTTTCGCTCACCTGTGCTTGAGTAAGGCCGCAAGGAGCACAAAATGCATTTAGTTCATCTCCAAGGTAGTCTGATAGTCTTAATAGTTGCAGCATTGCTCAAAAGTCCAAGTCCAAGATCTCCTCTGAGACACAAAGCAAACTCTTAGCTGTGAACCCCAGTAAAAAATTAAAAATCAAGTTATGTATATTCAACATGCAATGTTGGAACAGGGTAAACATTCCTATTCCAAAAAAGGAGGCATTGGAGAATACCAGGGGCCAAAGCAAGATTGAAACCCAGCAGGGAAAACATTAAATCCTGTAGTTCCTTGTCCAGCATCCAGGGCACATGCTGGTGGGACGTGAGCTTCAAAGGGCTTATGCAGCCCTTACTTTAAGGTCTTGCTGGCTGCAACCCACGTGATCTCTCTTTCTTGATCCGGTTCATTTACTGTATGCAGCTTCCCTTGATAGATATTCCACACTCCTGGCATCTCAAACTTTCTGGGGGCTCCACAGCTAATTCAGCTTCACTCCCACAACTTCATGCACTGCCTCTCAGGAGCTACCTGGGGACTTTGATTCTGCCACGCATTGCCTGGCCTCCCAGGCTTTTCTCTGAAATTTCAGTAGAAGCCTCCATGACCTTACAACTCTTGCATTCTGTGTGCCTGCAATCAACATCATGTGGATGACACCAAGGTCTGCCACCAGCCAGAGCAGTATCTGGGCCCCCTGAGATTATGGCTGCAGAAGCCTCTGAGTGCCTAGATGCTGAACATGGTGAAAAAAATCACAGGGGAACAACTTTTTTTTGAGACAGGGTCTCAATATGTAGTCAGGCTGGCCTTGGACTCACTATGGAGCCCAGGTTGGCCTCAAACTCACAATCTTCTTGCCTCAGCCTCCCAACTGTTAGGATTACAGGCATGGGCTATCATGCCTGGCTATTTGGTCTCTTTTTAACGGCACTGATTTCTTCATCAATCACATCTTCCTTGGCCATGATTTTAAATAGCTTCTCTTCTGACCAAATGGCAAGTTTTTCAGATGTTTCTGCTCTGCTTTTTGCTCATAATTCTCCCAGTAAATCTGATTGAAAGCACCGAGCAATTCTGATGTCACAGTGCAAATGCTGTGCTCTCTTGAAATTTCCTCCACCAGAAAAACTACTCTGTCACCTTTAAATTCAGTCTCCTATAAAGTCCCAGGGCAAGGGCGACCTGTAGACAAATTTTGGGCCAGAGCGTGACATGAACGGCCACTGGTCACAGCAACAGCTTCACTTCTCGATACCAGTTTTCTGTTAGATTTCCATCATCGTGACAAAGTACCTGAGAAAAAACAACCTAAAGGGGGTAAGATGTACTTTTACTCATGGTTTCAGTCCATGGTCATTTGGCTCTGTTGCTTCTGGGCCCAGGGTGAGACAGTGGGGGACTTGTGGTGGAAGGAAGTGGCTCGCCTCTTGGCAGATAGGAGTCAGAGAAAGGAAGAGGCTGGGAAGAAGACGTAGTCCCCAAGGATCCACTCCCTCAACCAGAAGTTCCCTCTTCTCAGTCCCCATCAAACCCTAATAGCTCACCAAACTATGAATTCAGCAGTGGGTTAATTCATTGATGAGGTCAGAGCCTCCGTGATCCAATCTTCTCAAAGGCTTCGTCTCTGAGCACCACTGCACCGGGGACCAAGCCTTTAACACAGGAGCCCTTTGAGAACTTTCACATCCAAATCAAAATGTTTCCATTTTACAGATGGGGTAAGTAAGGCTCAGAGGGGGTCAGCACCTGATAAAAGAGCTAGTAAGTGGCCAAATAATGTTCAAAGCCAGATCTACCTTAGTGAGTATAGGTGCCTCCCCTTCTTTCCTTCTCCCGGTGACTGTACCCTCATCCACACCCCTCAAGGCACATTCCAGGATGTACTGGGGCAGGAGTCTCTTGAGGGGACAGGAGCTGTTGGGCTCCCACCCAGCTGTGTCTGGCTTCCTCTCTGAGGTCTCTTGTGTACCCCCTGCAGGCTGAAGTCGCATGGGGACTCTTCCAAGCTCAGGCCCCCTTGGCCAGCTAAGGAGAGCATTTCTTTTTCTTTCTTACTTTTTTTCTTTTTGTGGGGCTAGGAATTAAAGCCCAAGCCTCATGGATGCTAAGCATGCACTTGACCATTGAGCTACAGGCTCAGCCCCCAAGAAGAGCACAGTTGAAATTGTGTGATATAAGTAAACATCATTTTTTTTAAGGAAGGAAAGGTTTATGTGGAGGTTTGTGGAGGTTTCAGTCCATACTCGACTGGCTCCAAGGCAGAGTGGCACATAGCAGAGGGCAACAGTTCATGGGGGCAGAAGACAGCAACAGGAACAAGAGCAAAAGGGAGGAGCAGCCAACACCATGTTTTAAAGAACCCCAGGACCAGAGTGTCATTGGAGCTACCCTAGAAGGTGCTCTTAGAGGTCCAGTAGCTCTGAAAAAGGAGGAAAGGGGTGAATAACATTTGCAGGCCACTGAATGAATGAAAACTTTACATCATTTGTTCTTTCTATACACCTAAGGGCACAACTGACTCTTTGAATTACTTTCCCTATAACTCAGTCATTGGCCTCCTTTGCTTAAACATCCCCTTTTCAGGGAGCAAGCTGCCCTTTACTGCATTTAAATGGAGGCATTCAGAATGAAGTGATTCCAGGGGCTGGGGATTTAGCTCAACGGCACAGCACCGGCCTGGCAAGCACAAGGTTGTGAGTTCGATTCCTGGTACTGAAAAAAAAAAACAAAAACAAAAACAAAAAAAAGAATGAAGCGATTCCCCCAAGGCAACCAGGGAATGACTGCCATCACTAAGTCTGGCTCCAAAGCCCGAGTCCCTTCTAGTCATCCTGCTGCCTTCCTTTGTAGATGTCCTCTGTGACCCAGAATGTGAAGGCGCATCCCTTCTCTCTCCCAGACAAGCCAGAAAAGTATTGCAGAGGTGAAATAACTTCTCCAAGGTCACCCAGCAGCAACATGCCAAAACTGGGTAGCAGAGATTCATTGAAACAACTTTATTGAACTAAAAACTTGCATACCATATGTCTTGGTTACTTTTTTCTCGCTGCTGGGACAAAATTAAGGAAGGAAAGGTTTATTTCGCTTACAGTTTGTGGAGGTTTCAATCCGTACTTGGCAGATTATAAGGCAGAGTGGCACATGGCAG